TTTGCTTTATTCATTCATTTGCACATTTATTTTCTTAAAACCATAGTGAATTTACTAGGGAAAATGAAAATTCTAATAGTTTAACAAGATATTTGTTTCCAGCTTACTAACAAATAATGTGTATTTAATTTATTTGGCTTATTTTACAATTCTATAATGGTGTTTGAGGAGCCTTGGTGGCTCAGTAGTTAAAGCACTCAGCTGCTAACCAAAAGGTTGGCTGTTCAAATCCACCAGCTGCTCCATGGGAGAAAGATGTGTCAGTGTGCTTCTGTAAAGATTACAGCTTTGGAAACCCTATGGGGCAGCTCTACTCTGTCCTATAGGATCACTGTGAGTTGGAATTGACTTGAGACAATAGGTTTCTGGGTTTTATCTTGATATTTAATTTTCTACAACTTTTTTTTGAGAGTAGAAATTAAGTTTTCATCCTATGCTTCACAATTTTTATTAGCAATGAATATAAATAGTTCCTTATTTCTAATAAGTACTTTGATTAATTTTTCTATTTGGAAAAGTAAAACTTTCAGTAACACACACCCATGCACAAATAGAAAAAGGCTAGGAAAGAAATATAGCACAGTATCATATCAACAACAATAGCTCCATAGAGTGAGAGTATGAGTGATTTTAGAACTGTATTTTTCTGTTATCTTCAAATTTTCTACAATGTATTTGTATTACTTTTATTATCAGAGAAAACAATCAACAAAATGAAGTCTAAAATATTTTGCTCATATATCCTAAGAGCTCTGCAGAGGCTGATAAACTAGAGATATTTTTTATATCTCAATTCCTGCAGGGCTTTCAACAGCCCCGCCGCAAATACTGTGCTTTCAAATTTACCTCAGAAGTTTTACTTTCCTTGCCTTTCAGTTATATTGGCATGTATTTACATATGTTCTTAAAAGATTTTATTTGTCCAGAAACATACAGATAAAATCTAAAATATGTGTAAATAAAATAACAAGCTGTAATTCTGACATCAAGAATGAAAGGGAGCAAGGGTTCATACTACTGGTTAAACTTCAAATACATCAATAATTTCATTAACATTTACATCTGGAAAAGCCTAATGTAAAGTATTTTATTTTTTGAAGAGGTTTGTATGTGAAAAATAAATTAAAAAAAAAAACCCCAAATCCTACAAATTAATGAGTGGATTATTCAAAACTGACATTACCTAAAACAGACGTATGAAAAAGCAGATATTGACATGAAAAATCCATGGCATACTTCATTCTTTAAAATAAGATTTATCATTATTGAAGTTCTTATTAATAACTCAGTCCCTTAAATATGACATACACACACAATATATATATATATATACATATATAATTATATATATACATATATATAGAGAGAGAATAAAAAACCAAATCAAGCTTACTGCCATTGAGTCGAATCTGACTCATAGTGACCCCTCCTTGGGTTTCTGTCCTGGTTACCTAGTGCTGCTCTGACAAGAATATATCACAAATCGGATGGCCGTAACAAACAGGAGTTTATTCTCTTACAGTCTGGAGGCTTTAAGTCCAAGTGTAAAGTGCCAGGCTCTAGGGGCTGGGTGAAAGCCCCTCGACCTTGGGCTTCAGCTCTGCCTCTTGTTCCCCTCCCACTGAAGCTAGAGGCATCGCTTCACTCAGGCAGTTACTGGCTGCTGAGGCTAACAAGCTCAAGGTTGACAAATAAAATGGCACAATTCCGATGTTACCAAACCACATGGCAAGCCATTAATTCAAGTCCATTGTAAGTCCCAAGGTCAGCAGAGCATGGCAGGCTGCTGAACAATGACATGGATACATACAGGGCCCAAGTGTGTCATAAGCTAAAGACCATTCCCCAAGATTTCTCCTTATATGCAGGAAGCAGACCACATCCCTAGGGCAGCTACTCAGATGCTCATAGTAGATTCCATCATGGAGTTGATTACCAGTCTCATCATAGGGAATATACTACATCCAGCTTCCCAGACACTCAACCAGTCCCAGCCACGTTGACACACTAACTTAACTGCCACAGTTTCCGAGGCTGTATCACTATGGAAGTAGATTGCCCAACCTTCTTTCCGAGAAGTGGCTGATGGGTATGAACTGCTACCTTCTGGTTAGCAGTCAAATACCTTAGGCACTATGCCACCAGAGCTCCCATATATATGTAGAGAGAGAGAGAAATAGATATATTTTATTTTGCACTTGGAAATATTTTCATTTTTTACACATTTTTAAAGAAATAACATAAATCCTTTTCACATTTTGTAGTTTATTACTGATTAGAATAAAGAACATTCTAAATAAAATTCTGGCATTAATTATGAAGCAACATGGTGAAGGACTTATCTTGCCTACCACCAGTTAGTCAAGGCTTATTCATCATCAACTATGAGCTTGCAAAAAAGGCAGGGAGGCCACATGTTCTGACCTCCTGCAACCGCACAAGAGAAAGACAGAATCACCATCAAGGCCTATGACTGCAAGGCCAGACAAGTTGCTGCCTCCCTCCAGCCCTTCCTCCCAAAGCACCCACCACCTCTCTCCTGGGTTCGATAATTCACTGCAGTGGCCACAGAACTCACAGATTATGGGGTTTATTAGGGAAGCACCAGGCTACAATTCAAGTTCAGGAAAAATGCTCAGTCTTTCTCCCAGACCGTTGTCTCTCACAGTCTCTCTCCCAGCAGTGCATGTCCCTTGGTGTCTCTCAGCAATGCATGTCTCTTGCGTCTCTTTCCCAGCATCACGTGTCTCTCAGGGACACGTCTTTCCTCAGCCAGCAGAGAGAGATTTCTGGCTCTAGGAGGCCTGCTTTTGAGCCCGGCAGAGTGGACAAACTAGTCAATCATAACATCAGAATTCTAAACACCTGAGAGAGAGCAGGAACCTCCCAGAACATTATTTAGTGTCACTCCCAACAGAAGTACCCCAGGTGGACAACTTCAGCAATCAGGAGCTCCTCAGTTGCTCATGGCAAATTCCACCTTGGAGTTTACAAAGACTTATGGGTTGAAAAGCCACACTAAGTAATTTACTACACTGCAGGGCTCAGCACTCCAAAAATAGTTTTTAATGATATATGAAAACAATTGTCAAATTACAATCAGGGCTTTGTTGTGATGTACTATTAAGTGTTTTTTTTTTTTTAAGAACTATACTTATACATATTAGCTCAATTAATTTGATATTCTCATTTCATTTGATAGAAACTATAAGTTCACTCATCAGTGAAAATGCAGAAGAGTGGCTAAAGGCAAAAGAGAGAGAAAGAATTTAAGATGTAAGTCTAGGTACCTACTTCATTTTCACAAGAGACAGCAATGGGGATTAGAAGAAATGAAAAAATAATAAAATTGAATCCTCAATATTAACAAAGCTTGTAAAAAGCAAGCTGAACTAATGCATCAAAAGCATGATGGTTATAGATTGCTACCAAGAACGAGGCCCCTTTCTCCCAGCAGCTCAGTTACTTCATACTGCCCAGTTTTGAGTTTCCCTGGGTCATCCAAATCTTTTATCTCCTTTTCATTCATTATTGCAGTTCTTCAGCTCTTAGTAGGAAAAGAGAAATATATAAATAATTCATGATAAAGTGTGAATGACTTAATCCCTTTTGTGGTACATTTGCACCAGATGGGCAATTCAGTATAAGGAATGACCCGTGAGGGTCAGTTTTTCCCTCTCCCCAAAAGTAAGATGTTACTTTGAAGACTGTCACTTTGAAGACTAAGGTGTCCCTAACCCAAGCCATGGTATTTTCCATTGCCTCATACACATGGGAAAGTTGGACAATAAATAAGGAAGGCTGAAAAAGAAGAGTTGATGCCTTGAAATTGTGGTGTTGGCGAAGAACACTGAAAATACCATGGACTGCCAGAAGAACAAATCTTTCCTGGAAGAGTACAGCCAGAATGCTCCCTTGGAAGTGAGAATGGCCAGACTTTGTCTCATCTACTTTGGTCATGTTGTCAGAAGGGACCAGTCTCTGGAGAAGGATGTCATGTTTTGTAAAGGGTCAGCGAAAAAGGTGAAGACCCTCAATGAGATGAACTGACACAGTAGCTGCAACAATGGGCTCCAGCACAGCAAGCATTGTGGGGATGGTGCAGGACCGGGCGGTGTTTCGTTCTGTCATAATATGGCCGCTGAGTTGAAGCCAACTCCATGGCACCTAACAACAACAAAGAATAAGGGACTGAGACGTCAGGGTAGGTTTGGGTTCCAAGGTTGCTTTGAGGGTTCTCCACATCCAACTTTTGTCTGTTTTCTATTAAAATGAATGTTTGTAGCCCCCTCTGTGTCCTAAAGCAATCTCAGCTCTGAGCACAGGATACAGGGTTGTCATTGCAGATTCAGGATTCTCCTTTCCCCACCCTTCACCCTTATACAGGAACTGGATGCATGGGGTTATGTAATTTTCATAACCCTTTGTCGTCCAGGGTCCCATTTAAATGTCAGGCCTGACATTTCAAAGGTAGAAGAGGCAAGAAGCTATCATTCATCTTTGGCACAAAGGGGTGGACCTTTGGGCAGACGGCAGATTCTTGTGATTTCTGCACTAAGATGTAAGGCTGAGATAATTTCCAGAAGAGCTCCTGGGATATCCCACATTGGTTCTGTGGGCTGCTAAGATAATTGGTGGTGACTTCAAGGCTTCCTGATATTCCTTAGCTTCCTGACTTCCTGAAAGCCAGCAGGGGTTTTCTCCAACCTTCACTCGCCAGCCCATTCAGTAATGCTGTAAGCATCTAATCCCTGCCCACTTTATTTTCTATTAGAACTCAAGAATGATACTGATATTTTGCTGATTTGCTCATTATCTGGTGTCAAGTAAATTTTTTCGTTTTCCCACCAAGAACAACTGAGGATGTGTTCTAAATTCTAAATTTATAATATGGCATATTTGCTGGCATTTCCTAGGTAATTTGTACACTTTCTTGAAACCACCCCACCAAAAAAAAAAAAAACCAAAACTTCAAAAGACAAATGAAGGCACCATCATTCTTAAAGTTTTTCATTTATTATACCTGTTATTGTTGCCATCATATCTTGCTTTATACCAGAATTGTGACAGAGAGTAATTAGTTTTAGAGACAGTGAAGAAAGGTAAGAAGGTTGTTTCAGTTTATTCCAAACTTGGCTTGAAGGAAAATTCACACATCCTTCTAGTTTGTGAAATAGGCGTCGAATCTTTATTAAGCTGGCCAGCAGAAGAAAGTCATCCTCACTCAGGTATCGGAGGACTGGAATCTCCTCAGGGTTTGGTACCTTTTCAGAAAAGAGAAGAAAAGGAAAGCTCAGGGTCCAGTAATGGAGATGGTGACAGCAGAACTGGAGGTGAGAGGAGCCAGGCTGTGGCAATATTTTGGAGATGGGTTCCCTATGAAGGGTCCAACCTAGTTAACTTCAAGCAAGGGCAGTAGAATTAGTCTAACCTGTATAAGGAATGAGCTGAAGTACTGTGGAGACTTGAGAGACTAAATGCAGGCCAGATAGAGTAAGTTAAATGGAATTTGGATACCCTTGAAAGTCAACAAATTTATTTAAATAACTTAACTGGCATATACTCACAGGAAGGAAGTGGGAGCACAGTCCCTTCCCTGGAAAATGCCCAGCTGAGGATAAAGATGAACAAATCATTTGTGGTGCCTGGAGGTTGGGCAGCCAACTGGGAAGGCACCAAGAGAGGGCTATTCCTCAGAGAAGGTAGCACCTGAACTGGGTTTTCAAGAATAATGGGAATGACCAAAACTCCATTTCTTTCTCTTAAAGTGTGTGCCTACTTCCAGGAGGGCATTCCAAATTAACCTGACTTTATTCTGCCCTCCCCACTGCCTCACACACAGCCTCTGGCAACTTAAGGCTGATGGAATCTCCTGGTAGATACTGGAAAGTGAGTGGATCTGTCAGGACAGATGTCAGGACATCTTGGCAGAGATGTTTTCACACCTTGCGTGTTCAGAGCCAGCCTAGGAAGGGCCATTTAGCTTCAGTGGGGTGGGCTAAATGCAAGCGGAACTACTGAGCATTATATGCAAACAATGCAGGAAATTACAGCGTCTGTGTGTGTTCTACCCCTTTTCCTCCACTCAAAATGAAGGAAGGGAAGATGAAAGGAAGATGAGATGGATGAATAACAAAGAATGGATTGGGATCCTTAACATTTCCTTCAACTCAAATCCCATAAAATGATAGAACACTTCAACACATTAAATCAATAATGGTTGCAGAAAATAATAAAGGCCTTCATTAGCAGAAAAAAATTTAGGAATTACTGAAAATCAGAAAGCTGATGGGTCCATGTCCATAGAAAGCTAAATGACCAAATGAAACCACTAACCCAAAACACACACACTCAAAATCAACAGAAATGAGAAGTAGGAGCTGGCCCTGAGGTAAATACAAAGATAATCATTCAGAAAATGCAGTAGGAACAATTGGGAGGCAGTTTCTTCCCTTCCTCCTTTGTATAGAGCAAGGGTGCCCACAGGCTGGTGCTGGAAGTGTGGCACTGGGCTAGCCTTCTAACCTCCACAGCATGTACTGCTGTTGTTGGGTGCCATTGAGTTGGCTCCGACTCATAGTGTCCTTATATACAACAGAACGAAACACTGCCTGGTCCTGCACCATCCTCACAATTTGCTATGCTTCACCCCATTGCTGCAGCCATTGTGTCAATTGATTCTTTGAAGGTCGTCCTTTTTTTTCATTGACCCTCTACTTTAGTAAGCATGATATGTTTCTCCAGGGAATGGTCCCTTCTGACAACATGACCAAAGTAAGTGAGAAGAAGTCTGGCCATTCTTGCTTCTAAGGAGCATTCTGGTATCACTTCCTTCAGGACAGATTTGTTCTTTCTTCTGACAGTCCACAGCATTTTCAGTATTCTTCACCAACACAATACGTTTCAGGCAACTGTTCTTTGGTCTTTTTTATTCATTGTCCAGCTTTCACATGCATATAAAGTGATTGAAAATACCATGTCTTGGGTCAGGTGCACCTTAGTATTCAAAGTGACATCCTTGCTCCTTAACACTTTACAGAGATCTTTTGCAGCAGATTTGCCTAGTGTAGTATGACATTACATTTCTTGATTGCTGCTTCCATGGGTGTTGATTGTGGATCCAAGTAAAATGAAATCCCTGACAACCTCAGTCTTTTCTTCATTTATTGTCATATTGCTTATTGGTCCAGTTGTGAGGATTTTTGTTTTCTTTATGTTGAGGTTTAATCTATACTGCAGACTGTATTCTTTGATTTTCATCAGTAAGTGCTTCAAGTCCTCTTCACTTTCAGCAAGCAAGGTTGTGTCATCTGCATATTGCAGGTTGTTAATGGGTCTTCCTCCAATCCTGATGCCATGTTCTTCTTCATATAGTCCAGTTTCTCAGATTATTGGCTCAGCACACAGATTGAACAAATGTGGTGACAGGATACAACCCTGATAAACCTTTCCTGATTTTAAACCATGCAATATTACTTTGTTTTTTTTAGAACGACAGCCTCTTGGTCTATATGCAGATTACCCACAGGCACAATTAAGTGTTCTGGAATTCCCATTCTTCGAAATGTTATTTATAATTTGTTACAATCCACACGGTCTAATTCCTTTGCATAGTCAATAAAGCACAGGTAAACATCCCTTCTTTGCTTCCAGCCAAGATCCATTTGACATCAGCAATGATATGCCTTGTTCTGCATCCTCTTCTGAATCCAGCTTGCATTTCTGGAAGTTCCTTGTCAATGTACTACTGCAATCATTGTTCTTTTTTTTTTTTTAAATTATTATTTATTATTATTTTTTAATGTGATTTGCGTTAAGATTTACAGAGCAAATTCACTTTCCATACAGCAGTTCACATACACTTTGTCTCATGGCATTGACCACAATTTACCACAATGCAACAGCTACTCTTCAACTTCCTCCTGAAAATTACCTCTTCCTTGTGTCCATCCCTCTATGCACTCCTGCCCCCTGAGCTGTCTCCCGGTGCATAAGCAGTCCTTCTTTCTCCTATGAGTGTTTTCTCCAAGGGCCATTGGTGTATCTACCTCAGGTAAATGTTCAACTCATATGCCTGTCTTTTGCTTGGCTGGAAGCCACAGGTGTGGGTTCAATTCCAGACCTGACAGGCAGCTAGGGGCCATAGTCTCAGTGGTTCCACCAGGCTCTATTGGACCAGAAAACCTGGTCCCCCCCTCTTTTATTTTCTCCAAATGATTTTGAGTTTTGTCCACATTGTTCTCCCTCTCTATCCAGGATCTCCTACATAGATCCCCTTCCAAGTGGTTGACATTGGTAGCCAGGCACCATCTAGTTCTGGTCTCATAGTCATATAGGCTGCAGACTGGATGGTGTACCCATCCCTAGGACTGATTCTATCCATGAATTTTTGGTTTTCTTCATTCTTCTTTGCTCTGGACGAGGAGAGACCCATCATTGCATCTAGATGGCAGCTTCCTAGCATTTAAGGTCCCAGTCGCTACTCGCCAAAGTAGGAGGTGGAACAATGTTTTGTATACTATGTTATGCCAATTGAGCTTGATGTCCCCTGTGACTATGGTCTCGAGCCCACAGGTTCAACTACTCTCTGGCTAGCTGGCTGTGACCAAGCAGTGACTACCACTTTGCCTCTTGTAAGCTCTAATATACACCTAGGAATTCAGATCATACACATAAACTCACAGGACTGTTGTCTGCCAACCCTATACATGTTCTTGGGTACACTCCGTGCTTCATAGACACACCTACTAGTTCAGACTGTCCACCCATCTGTCCACCCGTATACCCATGTTTGCCTTCACTGACAACGCAGTACCGTATGTGCAAAAGGATTCATCTTTGTTGTCTGTACCTCCCAAGTACCTCTCTATGTCTTTCTCTTCCTCAATGCCACCCTATACTTCACTCACATTTGGTACATTGCCCTTCTTTTCACCCAAATCAATACTCATCTCTATCTAACAGTGTTCTCTCCCCTCTCCTCCTACCCCTGGTAACCAATAAAGAAAATTTCTTTCCATAGATAAACCTTTCCTTGACTTTTACAATAACAGACTAATACAATATTTGTCCTTTTGTAATTGACTTATTTCACTCAGCATAATGTCCTCCAAGTTCATCCATGTTATGCGGTGTTTTG